GAGGTTTCATCTTCTGAGCTTTCGGACTCATGCTAGACCTCATCCTCAGGGAACTTCTCTCTAGCAGGAGGAGTTGCTAGAACTGCTAGAGAGAAGTTCCCTGAAGATTGGCTCCAGTACGAGTCTGAAAGCTCAGAAGGATAAACCTCTGGTCCCGGTGATCAACCTTTTCAGTCAATAAATGATGTTATTTATAGTACTGGGAAGGCAGAGATCAAGTCAGCCCTTTCTAGGTAATAATATTCCATCTTCTGGATCAGAGTTAAAGAGGTAATGTTCTGATGCTCACATCTGTTTTGCTTTGTCACTAAGAGAAGTAACTTTTCCCTTACCACTTTCTCCAGTAGCTTTCCGCCTCCTCTCCTCCACGGTTGGCACATGGACCAGCTGCAAAACAAGGGGCCGCCGTGTGACAATTCCAGAGCCACGTGGCAAGAAATCCCGACCTACGATGCTCTCTAGCACAGAGCTTTTCCCACTACTCTGTGGAAACAAATACAGGTGGAAAAAGAAAAAAGCAGTGTCTTACCTGTGTATAAGAAGAACATATTATAAAATGTTGATTGCCTCCTTGCATACTCACAAATTCATTTTCATGAGATCCTCTCAAACTTGCACATTAATAGGGCAGATGATATTTTCAGCTCCCACTTTATCTTTAAATTGAAGTTTGCTTAGCTGACAAAAAGCTTTACACACTGGTTTAACCACCATTTGTTCTACTACAGCAGTGTTTCCCAAACTTGACAATTTTAAGGCATGAGGACTTCAACTCCCAGAATTCCACAGACAGCAACGCTTGGGAGTTGAAGTCCTTAAAATTGTCAAGTTTGGGAAACACTGTACTACAGACTCAAGCCGCGCTATTTAGAATGGGCATGGATAAGCCTTTTAAGTGGAGGCAGAATCTCACCTGAGAGCCAACTACCACAATTTGGGGCAGCTGTATGATTTCGGCTCCCACTGTGTTGAAAATCTCTTGTAGCTTATTGATCACAGGGATAAGAGTCTCCATAATGACGAAGGTGCAGCTCGTGGAACGGGGCTCTTATTCCCTAGAAAATAGAGGACGATTAGCCAAAAGGAAATTGGAACCCCCCCCCCGCCATCATGCAGCCTTGTTTTCTCCCTCCCCTCCAAAAAAGCACGCTATCTCATTTCTCCGAGTAAGGGCCTGAGCCGTTCCCGACAAATTTAGCCCAAATAACGGAGCCGAGCATCCAAGCAGTGCTTAACACTCACCCTTAGAATATTTACTCTGAATACAGCTCCATTCACTCCACAACCAGGAAATATTCCCCGATTTGCCCGCCTCCTTCCCTAGCTGTATTGCTCAAGATCTCTGATCTTCTTGATTTCTTTAGGTTATTCGTCTGTCCATCAAGTAAGTCTTCAGCTCTATTGGAGAATAAAAATTTTCTAGGACGAGGTTACATTTTCATTGGCCAACTCGGGAACAAATCATGCGCCCCCCATCTTGAACGCTTTTTAAACATACGACCATAGAGACAAAGTTACAAGAGATAGAAAGGTTTTAGCAACCGAAACTATAGCAACAGCCAAGAATTCTTTTTAGTAAAATGGCGACTAGCAAAATAATTTTCGGAACGGCGGTTAAACTGATGAAGGCTTCCAGCAACCTCTGTTTTGTTAGTCGCCCCTTGTGTTTTTTAAATTAAAATACTGAAAATGAATTATTTTACTTTCATTGTGTTAACTAGATTAACATCTTGGTCGGTGTTGGTTAGGAATTATGGGGATTGTAATCCAATGCAGCTCTGGCTTGGGGAAGGCTTGTAAATTAGACACAAAAAGAAGTTAAAATCTGCATAACTTTTTTTTGTCCATTCGAATCTATATTGACTCCTGGTGACCACGTGGACAAGTCCATGCAGTTTTCTTGCCAATATTTTTGGGTATGGCAATATTTGCTCAAACATATCCTATTTCAATATGGATTAGCATGAAAATCCAAAATTCCACTATAAATTCCACTATAGTAAAACAATGAAGATTTTAAGATCTGCATTAAGCGTAATCATTGTACAAAGTAATACAATGTTGAGTTTATAAATTTGATTAATAAATAAATAATAAACAGCCTGTTTGGTTTACCTTAGCAGATCGTTCAAATTCCACCATTGTGACTTGATATCTGTGGTTAATGGCCTAGCATGCTAGGATGAATCCATCTAAATGTTTATTTGAAAAGTCATGGTTAACTAAACTATGGTTCAGTATGATATGTGAGGCCCATTTTAATTCAAATGATGGTAGGGATGCCTCCCAATGTTTGTAATTGGAAAGTCTGGTGCTAAAAAAAGAGAAAAAGATGATTTGCACTTTCAGGTAATGGTGGGGAGAATCTGCACTAAACTGCCTGCATTTTTTAAAAAATACAATTGCTTTCAATAATCAAATGATTTACCATACAGTGTAATATCCACTGCATTTAGAGTGTGAATATGAGATATCAACTCATAATTATGAGAGATTTGTTTCATAATGACCAAAATAATGTAATTTGCTGCTTTTGTCAAACCACATACCACCATGCTTTCTTTTCTTTTCTGTTCTGTCCATTGAAATAGAGTGGGTTTTTTTAATCCTTTTATTGTCTATCAATCCCATAAGAGAATTAGCAATATTTGTAAATAAGCTTCTCCATCCAGACTTCTGCTCAGAGTTGCTCAACTCTGAATTAGCATGCTAATTTGAAACTAGACTAGAATAGAGCTGGAAAGGACCTTGGAGGTCTTCTAGTTGAGCCCCCTGCTCAAGCAGGAGAACCTGTACCATCTCAAACAAGTGACTTTCTAGTCCAGGGGTGTCAAACTGCCGGCCCATGGGCTGTATGCGTCATCCGGAAGCTGCACCCACCCCATTGCCGGCAATGGTAAAACCGTCCCGATACATTGTGCGACTTCACATGACATCGCGAATTTGACATGTCTGGTCTAGTCTCTTCTTCAAAATCTCCAGTAATGGAGCGCCCACGATTTCTGGAGGCAAGCTGTTCCACTGGTTAATTTTCCTCACTGTCAGGAAGTTTCTTCTTAATTTCAGGTTGCTTCTCTCTTTGATCAGTTTCCACCCATTGTTTCTTGTCCTTCCCTCTGGTGCTTTGGTGAATAATGTGACCCCCTCTTATTTGTGGCAGCCCTCAAATACTGGAATACTGCTATCATGTCTCCAAGTCCCGCAGCCGTTCTTCATATGTTTTAATCTCCAGGCCTTTGATCATCTTAGTTGCTCTATTGCTCAGAGTTTGTCTTCTGGGGAGTTGGCTACTCCTGACAGTTTGGTGTCATCTGCAAATTTGATGAGTTCCCCTTCAATTCACTCATCTAAGTCATTTATGAAGATATTGAAGAGTACTGGACCTAAGACGGAACCTTGTGTACCCCACTGCTTACTTCTCTCCATGTGGATGTAGTGCCATTGAGGAATACTCATTGAGAACAGTTTGCAAGCCAGCTACAGATACATCTGGTGGTGATGTTGTCTATTCCACCTTTTTGTAGCTTACCAAGGAGTAGGTTGTGGTCCATTTTATCAGATGCCTTACTGAAATCTAAGTATACTACGTCCACAGCATTTCGCTGGTCTACTAGTTTAGTCACTTTATCGATGAATGAAATAAGATTGGTTTGGCATGATCTGTTTTTAACAAACCCATGCTGGCTACTAGTTATAGCTTTGTTTGCTTCTAGTTGTTCACAGATCTGTTTTTTGATCATCTTTTCTAGGATCTTCCCAGGTATTGATGTTAAACTGATTGGTCTGTAGTTTCCTGGATCTGTTTTTTTCCCTTTCTTGAAGATGGGAACCACATCAGCCCATTTCTGAGATAACATCTGCCAGCTTCATCAGAACTCTGGGATGTAATCTGTCGGGTCCCGGTGATTTATACTCGTCAAGGTCAGATAGATGTTCTCTTATCATTTTCTTGCTTATTTTAATTTTTGTTTCTAGTTTGTCTTTTGCAGTGGTTGTTTTGGTATGTTGGGTTATAGTTTCTTTTTGTGTGAAGACTGATACAAAGTATGAATTAAGCAGCTCTGCTTTCTCCCTGTTGCCCGTTATTTCCTTGCCATATTCTCTCTTTAGTGGATCTACAGTTTCCTTGACTTTTTTCTTGTTAATATGTTGGAAGAATTTTTTTCTATTATCCTTGATTTTTGTTGCAAGTCTTCGTCCATTCTGAGTCTTTGCTTTCTTGATTTCATCCTTGCATGTTCTGGTTGTCTGTTGATAATCGGCCTTAGTTATGTGCCCCTCTTTCCATTTTTTGTATTTGTCCTTTTTGTCTTTCAATTTGTCAGAGAGAACTTTGTGCAGCCATGCTGGTTTCTTCTTGAATTTCTTGTTTTTCTTTTTGGGTGGTTTTGTGGTGGTATGGGCTTTTATGATCACATTTTTCAGAGTTTCCCACGCTTCTTGGGTTGTTTTCTCCTTTAGGATTTTCATGCATGGGATCTTTCCTAGGTTCTTTCTGAGCTTGTTAAAGTCAGCTTTTTTGAAGTTTAAGACACTGGTTGGATTGTTTTCTATTGCTAGTGTTCCAATAAATTACAAATTCCAATAAATTACAAACTATTGTATTCATGTAGCAATAATGCCAGCTAAGCCTTCTTTTAAATGGTAAAGGCCATTTAAAGGCTAAATTATCAAATGTCATAAAATATCATTTCTATCTGCAATTTTTAATAGTGCAACAATGTCACTTTATCACAGCACTACATTTACAGTACACATATAGAACACTTGTGCTGGTAATAGAAGCATCTTTGAAATAAATGTGCATGCAAATTATGGTAGTTTAGGACTAAGGATTATCAGAAGAGTTGGTACCAGTAATACTGAAGGCTATCTGCCATGACATTAGAGCTTTATGTGCTGAGGTCACAGATTAGCCTTTTGTGAGTTCAAAAGTTCCATCCTGGATATCTTAGGTTCTCTCTCAGTGGCCTTAGCCACAGAAATGAAGATAGGGCATCTATTCAGGCTGTATGTTATCTTCCAGCTACTTCTGTCTTCCTCTTCCTCTTCCCACTGTAAGCAACAACAAGCCAATGTAGTAGACTTGAGTCCTAATCCCTCTTAGGGCGGACTGAGAGAGAGGTCTAGGCAACCTCAATATTAATATTTTTTGAGTTAAGTGATATATTTAAGTTGGAAGACTCAAGAAACAATATATTATTTAGAAGTTAGAACTATATTATTACATACTCAACAATGTAAATTCACAGCTCCCAATTCTTTAGTTAATGTTGGTCTTCATATGCACTGAGTTCTTCCCAAGAACCTAGAATATTATAATCTAGTGGCATAGGATATGTGGAGATCCAAGCAATGGGGCCTTCTGTAATGGACAGATGGAAATTTTTTCAATGCAGATTTTCTAAATGCCATCCAAGATTTTTTGGTATGGTACGCAGTATGCTGATAACCACTGGGACCACCATAGCCAGTTTATGCCATAATCTTTCAATTTTGATTTTCAGATCTTGATCATTTGTGATCTTTTCCAATTCTTTGTGTTCAATGCTATTATCTCCTATTATTTCTTCTTTTTTAACACTGTTAGATCTCGGTTATTGGTGTTCAGAAATTCCACAATATTTTGACCTGCTCATTTTTGACCACTTTTTAAACTCTATATTCCTACAACTTTTTAGAACTGGCACATGATAATTTTTACAGATGTTCCAGCTAATCATTTTTGATGGCTGTGTTTTCTTGTTTATAATCAGTTTGTGCAACTTCTTGCATGAGCTAAGTATATGATCTCCTGTTTCTTCTGCCTCTTGGCACAATCTGAGCTTTGAATCATTTGATGATTTTTTTCAATTCTGGCCTTGATTGCATTAGTTTTAATAGCTTGCTTTTGAGCAGCCAAAATCAAGTCTTCAGTTTCTTTTTTTTAATATTCCACTTATGAGCCCTTACCATTGCCAGGTTTTAGCTTTATCCACTTTCGCCTCACACTTTTGTAAAAACTGACCATATATTACTTTTCCTTGCCATCATGCTGTTCTTGTTTTTATTACATTATTTTGATATTCATGTTTTGTTTCCTGCACATTCAATAATTTTTAAATTGCATCAATGCTTGTTTTTGGCTGTCTTTTATGTAATCAGCCAGGCATGCTTTTCTTCTTTGATAGTTTGTTTGACTTGAAGTAAACCTTTGCCTCTGTTTCTGTGGGATAGATATAATTAATTAATATCAGTACAGGATGTAATGCATAGTGAATAGTTATCTGTTTTCTTGTTTTCTGGTCCAGTTCAGCTTGAGTCCTCTTAATATTTCCAGCAGTGTATGGTATCATAGGTATAGTCGAGGTTTAGCACTTTTCTCACTGTTTGGATCTATTCTTTAGTAATCACATTTTTAATTTCTCCGTGCTTGATATTATCCAACTGTAAAATGCCCAGATACTTGGAGGCTTTATCCTGATGACTCCTGATAGTTTGGGCATTCATTATTTCAATTCCATTATCGTTTGTGATTTTACTCCAATTTATTATTAAGTAACACATTTCTCTAGATCAGGGCTTTTCAACTTTTTCACCCATTGTACCACTTTTAGGATATGGCAACATCCGAGTACCACCAGTCACCTAGCAAAGTGTCAAAAGCTTGATGACACCCTCCCCCCCAAAAGGGAAAAAAAGTGATAAAGTACAGTTAGTCCTTGACTTACAACAGTTCGCTTAGTGACTGTTCGAAGTTACAATGGCACTGAAAAAAGTGCCCCCCAAGCCACAACTGAGCAAGACACCTGCCTGCCCACCCGGCCGCGCTCTTCCTCCTGTCCAAGGTTTTCATTGTTGTGAGCATTTCTGTTGAGGATTGGCAGTGGGGGTGGGGTGGGGGGGGTATTTGGTTTTTATTCCCCGTCTGCTGGATGGTTGCAGCAAGTTTTGGTCACTTCACATGACCCTGGGACACTGTGACCGTCATAAATATGAATCAGTTGTCAAGCATCTGAATGTAAATCACAACAACCTGGAGATGCTACAACATTTCAGCTGATCAGCGCTTCTTCTGGGCTCAGCAGAAGTACCAGGATCAATGCTGCTTTCCAGCTGATTGGTGCTTCTTCAGGGCTCAGCAGAAGCATTAGGATCAGTGCCGAGCTCCAGCTGGAGCCTAGCGCTGATCCTGGCATTCCGCTGAGCCCTGACAGTCCCGAAGCACCGATCAGCTGGAAAGCAATATTGAACCTGGCACTTCCGCTGAGCGCTGACAGCCCTGCAGCTCCAGCCATCTCTCGCTCAGGCTTGTGCAGTGCTGCCACCGGTTTAGCTCATTCCCCTCCCCCGCTACCACTTTTCTAGGATGGTCGCATACCACCTGCCAGGTGCCAATGTACCACAGGTGGTACCCGTACCACTGGTTGAAAAGCCCTGGTTTAGTGACTGTTTAAGATGACATGATCATTTTTCACACAACTGTTGCAGCATTCCCATGGTCACATAATCAAAATTTGGGTGCTTAGCAACTTGCATTTATTTAGTAGAGTTATACTGTTCCATGGTCATATGATCACTATTAGTAATCTTTCCAGCCAGCCTCCAACCAGAAAAGTCAATGGAAAAAGCCAGATTCATTTCATGACTGCATGATTCACTTAACAACTTCAGTGATCTGCTTCGCAAATGTGACAAAAAGGTCATAAAATGGGATATAATTTGCTTAACTACTGCCTTACTTAGCAACAGAAATTTTGGGTTTAATTGTTGTCATAAGTCAAGGACTCACGTAACAACTGCCCTGTCTATATTGGTGGGAGTTTTCTTAGTTGTTGCTTGATTAGGTTGTTGCTTACTGTTAACTTGTTTGTCTGTGTTGGTATTCCTTGACTGAGGTATTGTTTACTTCTTGACTGTTGGTCTAGATTGTCTGAAATGGTATAGGGTTTCCTGCCTGAGCAGGGGGTTGGACTAGATGACCTCCAAGGTCCCTTCCAACTTTATTATACTATTATTATTATTGTTGTTGGGGTTATTCTCTGCTTATATGGGTGTTGATTGCTGATGAGGAGGTATTTTAGTTTCTTTGTTTCCTTTTGTGTTCTTTGACTATCACTTTTGAGTGGTATGTAAATGTTGTTTATCTCTGTGCCTGTTGATGGTTTGTCTGAGTGCCAAACCTCCAGGAATTCTCTGGTGTTTTGGGACTTGGCTGGATCTAGGTTGCTGAGAGTTTCCTAGTTGAAACTATGGTTGAGTCTGTCCATGGGTTGTGAAATTAAGAAGTTTTCATCATATTTTGACTACTAGTTGATGTTCAAGGATGTGTTCTGCTAGTCTTCTGCCTGTTTGTCTTACATCAGGGATGTCAAACTGCTGGCCCTCAGGCTGGATGCATCATAGCGAAACTGCACTCACCCCATTGCCGGCAATGGCAAAAAAGTCACGATACATCGCGACACATCATGTGACGTTGCGAGTTTGACACCCCTGTCTTACATAATGGCTGTTACAGTCCTTATATGGTTTACTTAGGATGCTTTGGAGGGCTTTAGTTTGTGTGCTACAGTGATTCCATGTGGTTATAATGGTCTCTTGGTGGTTTCTGAGATATTTTTGATATATGGCAATGTTATCCTTTCCACTGCTTGTATTGGTTGAGCTATTGTAGACTGAGTAGTCAGGCACTTTTTGATAAAGTTGCATGGGTATCCATTTTGTTAGAAGATCTTGTATAGATGCTCTGATTCTTTTTTCTGATGTTCAGAGTTGTTGCAATGTGTTTGTGCAATGGAAACAGCTTCTCTTATGGGAAGTTGGGTTGTTATTTTGGTAGTGGAGCACTAGGTTGGTGTGAGTAGTTTTTCAATAGACTTGTGTTTGAAAAAATAAACAACCATCCTAAATAAACCAAAAACCTAACACTTCAGTACTCGGTAAGCCTTCATGGTATACTAGTAGCTTCAGTGCATCTTCCTCACTGTCCTTCAAATATTCTTGATCTTTTGTTCCTCTGCTGTTTGGGTGGTTTCTTTTCTACTCAGGTGGAAAGAACTTGTTTCAACTAGATGTTGTTGAACTCCATAAACTACAACACCAGTTAGCAATTTGAAAGTTGTTGGTAAGCAGGTAATTGGCCTGTAGTTGTCTGCTGCTACCCTTTTTGCTGGATCTTTCATTATCAGGTAGATTTTGCCAGATGTTACCACTCTTCAATCTCACCTCCTTACAGTATGTGTTAATTGCTTGGCAAGGAGTAAATATAGACCAGTAAGATATTTCAACCAAAATTCAAGTAATTTATCTTCAATTGGTGCTGACCATTTGTTGATCATCCTTCCTTTTTTTTCTCTCCCATTTCTTCTGTTATTACAAGTTCTTTCATTTCAACTTCTTTTTTATTCTTATTCACCTACTTTAACTAAGCTGCACTCATATTGCATTTCTTTGGGTTATCCCATATCTGTGCCCAGAAAAGCATGTTTCATCCTTGTCAGGTTTTGACTGATTTAATGCAGTCTCTCCATTGATAGATTGGTAGAAATATTTCTAATTGGATTGAAATGGAAGTTTCTGCCTATAATTTTCATTTTGAGCTTTGTATCTGCTGATGTTCTTGGCTATAGCTGTTATTTGCTGCTTTATTAGTTCCAGTGCTTCCTCGATCTTCCTCATTTCTAGGTGATATTTCTTGATCAGTATTCTTTGATCTTCTTGTTCTTCAGTTCTTTTCTTTCATCTGATCTCAGCTTGCTGATCTTATTTTCCAACCTGATCTTCTATTTTGGTGGTACACTGTTTGGCTTTTTTTCTCTTCTTTGTTGATTTTGTATCCCAGGTATTCAGTTATAACTGCATTAGTTGGTTTGTTTCTTGCAGTGAGCTGGTGCTTATGATAATCAAGTATGAAAGGATGATGCAAATAAATACAGTGTTGGCATAATTCATTATTAAGCATTTGCAGTTATTCTGGCTAAGCACTTCAATTCTGTATTAAAACAGAAGCTTTGTTATGCTCACTACCCTTTGAGCTGAAAATTATCAATATTTGAAGGTCTGTTTGAAAAAGTATCCTTCAAAATTGCACTTATTCATAGCTTTTTACATATCCCATATCCATATTCTCAAGAAATGTCACATTCTGCAAAAACTCTGATCTTCAAATAATTTAAGAAAAAACAGGAAGGAGAAAAAAGCAATTTCAATATTTTCAAAGGGCCAATTAGAAGGTTATCCCAAACATACACAATGCTTTTGGAATATAAAGCTTTAAGAGATGCAGCTAAATTTCATGGCCATTTCATAGATCATTAAGACTAGCCTGGGATTCAAATGCTAGCCTAATCCCCTCAGTGTGAACTTTCATGTATTATATTGTTTTCTGCTTCTTTAATTGACTTCCTAGGGGTGCATAGTCTTGAGCATGACAGAGTAGACATGGCTACTCTGAGACAATGATATAATAGGTAAGGCTTTTTGGTTTTTTGTTTAGATAATTTATGTAGCTGCCCATTTCACTGAAGTGACACTGGGCAGTATGCAAAGATTAAAAACACCCAGCAATTAAACAATAACCCATAATATTTGAGGTAAATGATATCTGTCAGGTACCAATGAATCAATGAAGGAAATGAAATTTCCTGACAGTTGGAACAATTAATCAGTGGAAAGACTTGCCTCCAGACGTTGTGGGTACTCCAACACTGGAGTTTTTTAAGAAGAGATTGGACAGCCATTTGTCTGAAATGGTATAGGGTCTGCAACTTGAGAAGGGGGTTGGACTAGAAGATCTCCAAGGTCCTTTCCAACTCTGTTATTCTGTTCCGTTAATACTTATGCTAGCTTTTTCTTTAGAACAAGCTTCAATGCAAGCAACCTTATTCTATTGTTTTCTATTGCCGTTCTAGATGCTCAGTTGTTCTTTGTTTCAATTTTTCTACTTCTTTAGTTAGGGGCTGTGTTCTTTCTGAGGCAGAAGAGAGGATGCCTGGTTTCCAAATGAAAAATATTCAATAGCTGTGCTGGCAGCTTCTACTGCCAATCCCCCCTGGTTTGTCTCAACAGGCTGAGTTACTTCTCTGGAGGCTTCGTTTTCTTTGTCCTGGGTAGACCTTTGCAGTTCTTCCAGTTCTGTTTCTGTGAATACTTTATTACGTATGATAAATTAATGTTGATCTGCTAGCCTCCCTTCTATTATTTCTGATTTTTGTAGTTTTTTTCCAGGACTAGTGCATTCATTTCAAAAATCCTCTTCTTGTGGGATATGATCTGTAACCTCTTTGTTTTCAATCTTTGTAGATTTGCAATGGGTAAAACCTCTTTCCTTCCAGAAATCTTGCAGCTGCTGGCCCTGGTTGCTCAGCCAACAGTCCTGAGTCCTATAGCCCATTTTTACCAGATGTCAAGGAACTCCACACCTAGCGAGGTTCTTGTTGACCTGGGTGATGACTAAGGCATTTTTGTATGCATTTTGTAAATTATGTCTCCATATTTTTTATGGGAGAGACTCTCTTCATCTGGCTCCAATATGGTGAGATCTCTCCAATATGGTTCAACCTCTGGTATAGCTTTCATCTCTCTCAGAGCACACAAGTCCCACAACCATATCAAGGTAGTGCCTCAATGGGGGTCTATTATGGTTCATCACACAGTTAGCCAGATCTTCAGACTTGATTTGACATTTTTATCCATGATTATGTTATTATTCTTATCCTCCTCATGTACTACTGTTACTATTATTAATAATATTATATAGAATCTGGAATTCTGTTTCCAGACCCTTATTTTGATTTTCTTATTTTTTATTAAAGAATTATATGAAGTTCTCCTATTTATTCCCTTAATTGTCTGGATATTGGTGAGTGAATAATCTCTTCACTAATTCTAGTTTTGGTAAACTTGTTAGCTCTGTGACCAGAACTAAAGCTTACCATCACTGAAGAGTATGTTATATTGCACAGATAAGATATTTAGATTAGAGTTTCCTACAATAATCTACTGGTCTCCTACAGTTTGTGATCTTCAGCATATGCAAACCAAATCAGACAAAGAGGAACAATCGGAACATAATAACAGCTCAGAAATACCGTGGCTTGTGAACATCTATGGCAATGGCAGGAGATGCCAGGGAGTTATCCTGAGCAGTTGGTGGGTCTTGACGGCAGCCAACTGCTTCCTATTGATGTGAGTAATGGAAGAAATTGGAACTCTTTTTCCTTTCAGGAATGATTGGCATACCGGGGAATATAATACCAAACAATTTCCATGCTATGGGAAAGTCCTGCCTCTGAGCATACTTGATTAGCTCATGCTATGTATGTCTTATAGGAATCCGAGCCAAGTAGAATTGACTGGATCTCATGGGCGTTTCTCCACCAATACAGTGAGCCAATTTCTGCTACATCGGGGCTTCAGTTCTTGGAATACGGCACCCAATAATGACCTGGGACTAATCTTGCTTGGTCAGCCAGTTGATTTAAGAAGGCGAGACATGTGGCCAGCTTGTATCCCCAAGGAAAAAAAACCTTATGACGTAACAGAGGAATGCAGGATTTTGGAGCAAAGTAATAATGGTGAGTTTGGGAGCATTCCATTTGGGTTTTTGGACCTCAGAAAAATGTGTTAGGATCAATGCCACAAGTACAAATATCTTCAGGTTATTTTAAAAACCAACTAACTAAGGGCAGAATTCAGTGTATTTGGCATAGCTGCAAAGAATTATTGGATAAGCATAGCAGCTAGTATTTGACCCGAAATCAATATTATTTTTAGGGACTGTTTATCCTTCTTGCTGCTTTGAAAATATTTGAAAATATGGGCAAAAACCAGAAAAGAGGATAAGTAGCTTTTGCAGAATTTGATAATTTAAAAATAAAAAAGAGCACCAATATTTAAAGAATTATATTGCACATATATAATCATAAATATATTAAGAAAAAAGAAGCATTGCAGGAAACCTTGACATAGCATAACAGTTCAGATAGCTGAGGATCTTTTCTCCCTCTCTGTAGAAACCACAAAGTTGTTGTTAAAGATAACCATTGTGGAGAGTCTGAGTGTCTTAGAGTGTTCCAAGCACTGGCCTGGATCTACAAATGAACGGAACTTGTGTGTTGAAAGAAAAAAACCTCCTAGGCATGCAGATTGCAAGGTAACCTATGTAAGTGGACTAAGGGTCAAATCTGTGGATGAAGAAATTTTCCCTTTTCTTTCCTTGACTATTTTAAGTATGAAGGTCATTGAAATAATATCCCTCCCAAGACCCACTTATTTGTCCACATAATTAAAATCTGAATTTTACTGTTTCAAAGGGGGAATAAAGCCTTTTCAATCTGTTTTCAGAATAGTTTCTGCGTTTCTAACATTTTAAGGTTCTGAAACTTTGCTGGAAAAATTTGGATTAGCTAACCAAGAAAATCTATTTTTAGAACTCATTGGATGTGTCAGAAGCCTGTTACGCTGGCTGAGCCCATCCCTACTACAACAGTGTCATTAAAAATCTCAGCTGGATAGCCAACCCACCAGCAAAAAAAAGCACACCAGTGCAAGTATTTTAGGCTCTCTTTGAGTTACCCAGTTGATTTTCATGCTGTCTTTCTCTTCTGCTGCAGGTGCCTGTAGGTACTCCAGTGATCTGCAGTGACCCAGCTATATCAAAATGGGAAGTGATGGGCATTGTGAGCCAGAGTTTATACAATTGTTCTGGTCCTATTTTGGCTGCCCAGCTTTTAACCCACTTAAAATGGCTAAGGCAAGAGGGTTCCCTAGAAAATCCTCTTCAGCAAGAATTACCTTTAGCTACTCCAGGTGTATCGATCACATCCAAAACAATGATCAAGACACTTCCAGCAACTCAGCAAGTATCAACAGCAGCCCCAATTTCTCAAACAACCATATCACTACCAGTGGCCAAATATGTACCCCTTACAAAAGCCTACAATAACGAAACATCTACAATATCAAGGCAGTTCCTTCCCCAAACTGAAAAGCCTGAGAATGTAAAAGCAACAACAGAACAGACATCACCTGTAATATCTTTTGTCACTCAAAGGATCTCTACAACAATTACAAAAGTACCATCTAAAATCTCTTCTAAACTTACAGAGCCTTTATCTGCAATATCTACAAAAGCACACCAGTCTCAATATGTAATCTCTTCTACACGCAAAGAAAGTGTTGACATGCCCACGACAAAACAGCCCTTTTGGAACACTAGAGAGCCAAAACATCTAACTATTACAGCGGTCCGACAAGAAACCCATGGAAAATCTTTCCCCAAAAAGTTATTACCTTTCACAGCTGAACCACATTCTGTCACACAAACAAGTATAACGTTGCCACCTACGCCTTTGCCACCTTTAGAGACCACTCCTATGGAGCTTCCACTATCCACTACTGCAACAGATGTCAATGAAGGTTTACCTGTTCATATTGCGATAGCTGAACCATAGTTGCCAAGGAGTAAACAGGAGGTTTCAATTTCTGGCATGAATTGCCCCACTCAGCATAGCCACAGTCTCCCATCCTCATTTCTGAGCAGACAGCTCTGAAATTGAGTGCGGTGAGGTGGGCGCAGAATTGCCTTGATCAGGAGAATCCCCACAAGAATGAGAGGGGAACCAGGAACGGATAATGAAGGTATTGGACGTCCAGGAACATAAACGTCACAGGACATCAGGCTAATCAATCATTTATTTCTTTTTGTTCTCTTTTTTTTTCTTTTTCTATAATGGGTTTAAAATAAAATGTTTCTAGTATAGCACAATGGCTTAGCCATTCTCTCTGTGAAAGAAAGTTACCAATATGACCGAACCAATAACGTTTGAAAAGAACTGTGAACAGGAAACTAAGTCAACAGAACAATTTTTTGAAAAAGTCAGGTACACATAATATATTTAAAGGAATGGATATCATTTGAAATTAAATATTGAGGGAATTTAATAACCAGCTGTCAGAGGTCCTTGCCACACCCCTGGCTCCAACAAGAAACAAGCCGTTTGAGTTCACAAGTGGTCGGTTTATTTATGGAATGCTCCAGCATGCAGTGGTTGAACAAACAGCAAACAAAGTCAGCGCTGGCAGCAACTGCCTCCCAATGCTCTAAATAGATGCCTCCCGGCTGGCCCCACCCTCCACCCACCTAGCCAGCATCCGGCGTGAGCGCCGGTATGGCAGCAAGGCAAGGAAGCGAGGCAGGATTTCGTCTCCTTGTCATTTCTCCACGCCGATCAGCTGCTTGGCGGGACTGCCTCGCAGCTGCGCTCTGCAGGGTTCCCCTTCCAGCATACAGGTACGAGGATGGAAAGGGCAGTCACTGCCGTCTCTGCCACTGGTCCCATCCGCTGCCTCCAGACGCCTCCATCCAATGGTCTTGTCCTCCCTCCCCCCTCCCATTGTAGCAAGCCCACAGGGGCTTAACAGGCGGCCCCCTCTACCAGGGCTCCACCTGGAAGGCAAGAAGAGACGTGCGATTAGTCATTAGTCATGGCAATCAACTCAGTTAGCATCCCCTCGGCTTACGGGGATTCCATCATTGGAATAGTTTTAGCAAACCGGGGGCTTTTATGTCCTTTTCCCCTATCACAATACATCCGTGACAGGGTACCCTATCGACTGTACCAGGTAATGCAAGTGATCCTGGGGGACTCAGGAAACTAGCACCTCATCTATCTTGTATCGGTCCTCTGCAATAGGACTTGGTGCCTGCCTGATGGACTGAAAGGAGAACCCTTCCACCGGCTTCAGTAAACTGCAGTGAAATACTGGGTGCAACCTCCCCAAGAAATGGGACAGCTTTAGTTTCACAGCGACTGGGTTGATGACCTGTACAATCGGGAATGGACCTATGAACTTTGGGCATAGCTTTTTGCAGGGTATTTTCAGGCACAGGTACTTGACAGATACACCATATCCCCCACCCGAAAGGGCTTTTGGGGAGCCCGTTTCTTATTGGCCTGAGCCTTATAGGCCTCTGCTGCTTTCTGTAGCGCCCTTTTTACAGTCTTCCAGACCCCTCCGGTATGCAGTTTATCCAGTCCTGGGGCTGGCAGGGGGAAAGGTCCTCCTGAGGGCACTCAGGAATCAGGATAAACTCCGCCCCATGAAACACACAGAAAGGGGCAATTCCGGTGTTACTGTGGACTGCGTTGTTATACGCCACTTCAGCAAATGGTAACAGGTCAACCCATTCCGTCTGTTGGTATGAGACTTAACAATGTAGGTACCATTCAACCATTGCATTGGCTCATTCAGCTGCCCAATTGGTGCTGGAATGGAAGGCTGAGCTGAGCCCCTGGGACGATCCGATCGAACAGACAAACACCCTCCAGAAGCGTGAGATGAATTGCACCCCCCCGGTCTGAAATTATCCACTGGAGCATGCCGCGCAGGTGGTACATCTATGTGATGAACATCTTTGCTAACTTCTGAGTGGATGGCAACCCTTTGCATGGAATGAAATGGGCCTGCTTGGAAAATAGGTCAACCATTGTCCATATGACCGTGCGCATGTGGGTCTCTGGTAATTCCACAATGAAGTCCATATCTGTGTCCTCCTATGGCCACATCGGGTCCACCACATGCTGCAACAACCCAGGCCGCCTCCCTGTGTGAGGCTTCGTGGTAGCACACATGGGGCAGTCCCGTACATATGTTTCAATTTCTGCCTTCATCCGAGGCCATCAGAATTGGCACCTCACCAGATGCAGGGTTTTAAGGAACCCAAAGTGACCGGCCTGTTTGACATCATGGCACTTCCATAGCACCTTTGGCCTTAATGCATATGGGATGTAGAGCCTGTTACCCTTCCACACCAACCCCTCCCTCTGAGTTAGGAGGGCCTGATGCTCCAGAAGCCAGGAGTCACTTTGGCTCGCTCTTTGCAGTTCCTGGACCAAGTTGTCTGCTGGTTTGCGCGTGGCCATCTGAGCGGCTGACTGCGTGAAGGGAGGAATAATGGCATGTATTACCTCCGCCTGCTGGCTGTTGTACTGAGGCATGCATGACAGAGTGTCTGCCAAGAAGTTCTGACCCCTGGCACATATTTCAGGCGAAAATGGAACCGTTGAAAATATTGTGCCCATCAGACATGCTTCGGGGATAGGCGCCGGAGTGTCTGCAAGGCCTCAAGATTTTTGTGGTCTGTCCAGACCTCAAACGGTTCTTTGGCCCCCTCCAGGAAATGCCACCAGGTCAAGAGCGCCCACCATACAGCGAATGCCCCCTTTCCCATATCGCCCACACCCGTTCTGTTTCCGTCAGTTTATGGGAGGTGTATGCACAAGGCTGTAGCATCCCTTGACCATTTTTCTGAAGCAGAACTGCCCCAACCGCAACATCACTGGCATCCACCTGGACGAACAGCAGGTCAGGGTTGGGGTGTTGCAAGACAGGCTCTCTTGTGAAGAGGGCCTTCAGATCTTCAAAGGCTCTTTCGTAGGCTAACGTCCACACCAGTGGCTGGCTGGGGCATGGTTTATCCACTGTATGTTTCTGTGGAGCAGGTTTGTTAAGTGCAGGGCCATCTTAGTGAACAAGGGGATGAACTGTCTATAGAAGTTAGCAAACCCTAGGAAACTCTTCAGCTGACGGTGGATCCATGGCACCTGCTACTCTAGCACGGCCCTGACTTTGGCAGGATGCACCTTCACCCAATATACGGTACCCGAGATAGTCCAGTCAGGTTTGGTGGAACTCACATTTGGACAGGTTTACGTACAGGTGTGCCTTCAGTAGTTTCTCCAGCATCTGCCGGACTAGGTGAACGTGTTCTGTCATGTTAGTAGTGTAGATCAGGATGTCATCCAGATACACGAGAACCCCATAGTACAAATGCTCATGCAACACCTCATTAATCAGTTGCATGAACACTGCAGGGGCTCCCTGCAATCCGAACAGCATCACGCAGAACTGATAGCTTCCTAGCGGCAATTAAATGCTGTCTTCCACTCATCCCCTCATTTCACATGGACCCTTTAATATGCCTCTCATAGATCCAGCTTGGTGAACACCCTTGTTCTATCCCAGCCTATTGCCGTCCTTGTTAAAGGCACCAAACCCCTGCTGATGCAATAGGCTGGAGACTTTACAACAAAACAAACCTCTTTTAATATGGGTGACAAACCTGTCAAATAGTCCAAAACACAAACAGCAAAACTCAAGTCCAAAGGAAACACGATGCAAACAGACGAGAAGTCACAAGCAAGATGAACAGACCAGGATTCCAAGAAGCACTTTGCAAACGGTTGCCTTCCGCAACCAGCACCGCCCACACCTCCTCCCTTTATTCAGCAGTCCCAAGGTGTTGCCTCTCATCGCCTTCTCCTTTTACTCTGGAGGCGTCGTATTGATTGCTGTTGATTTTCTCTTGCTAAATGATGACGTGTGCAAGCATCAATTAGCAAGTCCATCAGGTGTGACTCTTCTGAGTCTGACTCATTCTCCTCACACAGTTGAGCTTCATCAGGAACATGACTGGGGGGCCCAGGCTCTGCATCAAACTGTGAGTCCTGTAATTCATCCGAGCCTCCCTCTGCCCCTGACCTGGCATAATGGTCCAGATGACTGATGACCTGGCTTAGAAACAATGCCAGACAGTCTGGGTTACTGTAGAATGTTGCCTGCAATGGCGGAGGATCCCAGGACATACCCTGGGGCCAGAACCCCATGGGCCCCATGGGCCAATCAGAGCATCACTAGCAAGCGGAGGGTGCTGATCCCCGACACCGGTACCCTGCCGAGCTTACAACCCAGCTGCCAGAATCGGACACCTGGCAGGGCCTCCGCTTGGAGCCAACAGTGACCTTCTGTCCCACGCAGCCTGCGGTCGTCCTGCTGGGATGGTCAGGAATGCACTCTGGGTGGGGCCTCTCACCTGCGGAAAGTCAGGGACATGTCTGACATCCAGTTTCAGTTTCAGGCTGGCCAATCGGAACCGGGTCTGCAATGTCTGGGTTGGCTGAAGTCCCGTTGCCAGGCTGCTGTCTCAGCCCCAACCTCCCAATGCGACCACGACGGGGGATCTTGGAACCCGGCTTCTCCAAACCTCTCCCGCAACATATCCATCATATGCCAACCCAGTGCCGTGGAATATCTCCATTCTCTCTCATTATTGTCCGTTGGGTGCCTCTCTCGCCACTCAATCAATGGGTGGCCCAAAACTCCTGGTTTATATGGTTGGCCAGCTACTGGGCCAGGCACAGCCAAGCTATGCCACCACTCTCCTGAGGCTCCTGCCTCCTGCGCCGTCCCTGCGCCTGTGTGTCGCTCACCAGTTCTTTGGGCCTGACCACCGGCTGCATGTCGCTGTCCTCAGCATCCAGTGTTGGTGCTGCCACCTCAGCCGCAGCTGATTCTCCCCCTTTGCCCGCAGTCGCCACTCCCGCATGCCCTCAGCCATTCCTTGGTACCTGTACAGAACACTGCCAGCACACCAAGGGTAACAGATAGGGACAGAAAGAAGTGAGTGCTGACTTTCTGTGAGAGGTCCTTGCCACACCCCTGGCTCCAACAAGAAACAAGCCGTTGAGTTCACAGGTGGTCAGTTTATTTACGGAACGCTCCGGCATGCAGTAGTCAAACAAACAGCAAACAAAGTCAGTGCTGGGAGCAAGCACCTCCCAGCTCTCTAAATAGAGGCCTCCCGGCCAGCCCCACCCCACCACCCACCTAGCCAGCATCCAGCGTGAGCGCCGGTATGGCAGCAAGGCAAGGAAGCGAGGCAGGATTTCGGCTCCCCACCATTTCTCTGCATCAATCAGCTGCTCGGCGGGACGGCCTCGCAGCTGCGTTCCACAGGGTCCCCCTTCCAGCATACAGGTATGAGGAGGGAAAGGGCAGTTGC